CTATATATAAAAGCTTAAGCAACTGTTACAACCAAAAGACCAGAACTCCTGGAATGACTGGTCACTATGACGCATACCAACCATCATGGGGCAGATACTCAATACAGGAGCTGCCCCCCTGGTGGTCAATGCGCTCAAACAGTCAACCTCCCATGGCTGGCGGCCTGCCAACCTCCCATGGCTAAGGCTCCAGTCACCAGAGAATCTGGGTTCCAGAAGTCTGTAGGAAGAGAGTGCCCAGGTGCTGGTCAAGGCAGAGTAGCTGCTCAGAAGGGGCAGAAGGGACAAGGCAGCAGCCTAACTGCAAAGACGTAAACACCACCACCATCTTATCTCTGCCACCACACCCTGCCACTCGCCCTCCTGCCCTTGTTAGCCACTTCTAGCTCAGCCCACACCTTTCTGGGCTCCCAAGCACTGATTGGCTAGCACTTCCATGGTGGTGTGCCACCACTGGCAGAGTCAGCTACCTATCATGCTTGGGGTTGGAGCCCTGAGAAAATGTGTGGCTGAGGTAGGAGAGATGACCTGTCTGTCAGCAACTCCCACCCGGGGAGAGTGAGGCTGCGGAGCACAGACAGGGAAGAAGAACTGTATTTCCACCTCAGAGTGTAGCTGGTGTTCAGGCTGTTTTGGGGCACCCAGTCTGTGGTCTTTGCTTGCTGCTACCTCAGCAACAAGCAACTAGATTGGCGCCTGCTGGACAACCTCCCACAGTTCCTCGCACCCCTCATGCACCAATTTGTGCACCGGGCCTCTAGTATATATTAAAAAAAAGAGAGAGAGAAAGAAAGGGAGGGAGACAGCCAAGACAAAGGATAAAAGGTTAATATTAAACTGTAATAAAATCACATCAGCATGTATGATATGACCATACCTATGAACTTCTATAAATTCCATACATGTATGTATGTGTACTACAAAATCTGAAAAAATTAGAAATGCAAAGCTAATCAGCTCATTCTTCCCAAAACCTGCCATGGCTTTGTGTGCCCCTGTGGGTCCATCCAGAATCTCAACCTGGGCTCCAGAAGCCCCTGCTCAGCTCCCCGCCCTCCTCCAGAGCAGCTCCCCTCCTCCTCTGTGTCATGGGCACACATTTCCCCAGGACCCCAGGGCCTGCCCTGAAGCTTCTGCTCCTCTAGCTCTTCACCTAAGCTGCTCTTCTCTGCCAGGAGACTCCCTCCATGCCCATCTTCCTGGGTGACTCTTGCTCACTTTTACAGGCCTCAGCTTAAACAGCAGTTTCTCGGGGGATTTTTCATGACCCCCAGATGTGGTTAGGTACCTTGATATATATTCCCAATGATGCTTGGTCCTTGCTACTATTCCATGTTACTATTAGCCACTTTTTTTAAAAAAAACTTTGCACACATTTCCCCAGCTGCTGCTTACTGTTTGCTGTTTCTTTATTGTATCCAGATTGGATAAGGGCCCATAGCAGGGTCCTGAGTTTTGCATCCTGGCTCTGGTAACAGTGGTGACCGAGAACCACCTCTCTAGCCCTCATGGCACTCACGGCTCTCTCAGCCATGACGAGCTCTTCCAGTTTTCCAGGGGGAGCAGTTTATACCCCCACATGGCATCCCTAGCCTTTCTCAGAGTATCTGCCACCTCACCCCCTGTACCTCTGGCCATCTGGGTTCCGTGGCGCCCAGGGTTCCCACTATGCTCCTTTCCCCTAGTGCGAATCCCTGGGCAGAGGAGCCCTAGTGGCTGCTGGAATCCCTCCTGCTCTGTGACCATGACCTGGGCCTGAGAGGAGCAACAGTGAGGGTGGCTTGAAATTCCAGAACC